CCTATTTCGGTCACCACGCAACTCAAGGAAATTCAGGCAGTTGCGCAGCGCCAGTTGGTTGGAAGAACACACGCCCTGGGCAGCCTGTTTGAATGTATCGAAGGCAGGCCCTGGGCTGGGTACGGGATGTGGGCTTAACACCGGCCGTTTGACAGTTGGGTGTGAGCAACCACTACAGGCCCAGAGCCTGAGTTCTGTGGACTGGGCCTCAGCCTACCAGGGCCTACCGGAAGCTTTTTGGGAAATGCCCAGTGCAGCCTGGGACAGCAAGTAGGCAGGCCACTTCCATATAGCAAAGGCCCTGCCTCCGCATTCGGCATTTGGGTGCTGGCTGCATGCTGCGCAAGCGCTGCTGCGCTGAAGCTGGCTGGCACTCACGCGCTCACGGGCGAGCAGGAAGGAGCAGGCAGCCATAGCTGAGCTGCGCTGCTGTAAGCTGGGTGTGGCGCAGGGTGGTCCTTGGGTGCAAGTGGCATTTGTTTGTTGGGGAACGAGGTTGTGAGTGAGACGAGAGACATACCTGATGTTGGAAGCATGCGACATTGGTCGCTGTATGCTCGTACTTCGGGGAAGTTGTTGACGTCATCTTCGGCATTGTAGTCTAGGCTAGAAAGGATCTGCCATCTGTAGTCTGGGCACCGAGCGCCAAATAGGATATCAACATTGGTTCTTCATTGATGACGATGATGAGACAAATTCAGCATTGTCAATTATGAGCTCTTGGTGTGTTCTTATTTTGAAACTCGTGATGCAATTCTATTGTTGGTTTGAGGTCACGACTATCTGGTCTTATGTGTATGATGCTGTTTGATTGCTGAAGTTCGCTATTGCTCATCTTCCTTGCAATTTGGTATCGTAGATGTGGTACGATTGCGCTCATCTGGCGCTTGTCTTCTGCCTAATGCGGTACATCTCTCCGCTTCCGCCTCTACTTCCCCCCGCTTCCACTTCCCCCGGCTTCCCCCCTTGCTTGCGCTTTCCCTCCGCTTCCGCTTCTCCTTCCCCCCCGCTTCCGCTTCCGCTTCCTTCCGGAGTCTGCTTTCTCCCCACTTCCGCTTCCGCTTCCCCCCCGCTTCCGCTTCCGCTTCCCCTCGCTTCCACTTCCGCCTTCGCTTTTGCCATCTGCCAACTAAGCCCAACTTAGCCTTCCGCCTTCCACTTCCACTTCCCCCCGCCCACGCTTCCGCTTACGTTTCCTCCCCGCTTCCGCTTACATTTCCCCACCGCTTCCGCTTTCGCCTCCCCTGCGTTTCTTCTTCCGCTTCCGCTTCAACCTCCGCTTCAGCTTCCGCTTCCGCCTCGGCTTCTGCTTCCCACCACGTGGCAAGTTTGCCACGCAGCAAACACGCCACCTCCCCCTCCCACGTGACAAGATCGCCACGTGGCAAGATCGCCACGTGGCAAGTTCGCCACCTCCCCATCCCACGTGCCAAGATCGCCATGTGGCAAGTTCGCCACCTCCGCTTCCGCTTCTCGATCCCGATCCCGATCCCCTCCGCCCGCCTCCACCCGCCTCCGCCCACCTCCGCCCACCTTCGCCCACCTCCGCCCACCTCCGCCCACCTCGGCCCATCTGCGGTCCACAAGACCACCTCCTCTACGCCCGCTCACCTGCGCTCTGGCCATCTTAGCTCCGATTACCTCCGTTCGGGCCACCTTCAGCTTCCGCTTCCACCTCGGCTTCCGCTTCACACCACGTGGCAAGTTTGCCACGCGGCAAGCTCGCCATCTTCCCCTCCCACGTGAGAAGATCGCCACCTCCCCCTCCCACGTGCCAAGATCGCCACGTGGCAAATTCGCCATGTGCCAAGTTCGCCACCTCTGCTTCCGCTTTCCGATCCCAATCCTAATCCCCTTTGTCTGCCTCTGCCCACCTTCGCCTACCTCCACCCACCTTCGCTCCACCTGCCCACCTCCGCCCACCTCCGCCCACCTCGGCTCATTTGCGGTGCACACGGCCCTCTCCTCTACACCCTCTCACCTTCGGTCCGGCCATCTTAGCTCCGGTCACCTCCGCCCGACTCCGCCCACCTCCGGTGCCCGTCCGCCCGCCTCCGCCCGATTCCTCCCACCTCCACGCACGTCAGCCCACCTCCGCCCACCTCCGCACATTTCTGCCGCCCTCTGCCCACCACCGCTCGACTCTCTTTCCCGCCCTTTCCCGTTGCTCTTCCCTCGGCTGCTTCCCCCGCTCCTCCGCTCCTTCCATTCGCTGCCTCCCCCGCTGATTGACTGATTGATTGATTGATTGAAATATGTCGAACGGGTCGGGACGGGACCCAACCCGACCCGGTTTCTTCGTTTTTTGTTTGTGGTTTTTGTTTCAATCAATCAATCAATCAACTTCGGTTGATTGATGGATTGATTGATTGATTGATTGGTTGGTTGAAATAAATAATAATAATAAAAAGTTGGTGCGATCTCGAAAGTGTCGGGACGAGACCCCACCCGATCCGACTTGATTGATCGATTGATTGAAGGGGGAGAGTGAGATCGAGAGAGAGAGAGAGGAGGACAAAGAGAGAGAGAGAGGGAGACAGACAGACAGACAGAGAGAGAGTGAGAGAGAGAGAGAGAGAAAGAGAGAGAGAGAGAGAGGGGATAGATTGGTGCGATCCCGAACGAACCTCTATCTCGAGCAACCGCCATCGACTCAACAATCAATCAATCAATCAATGAACCAATAAATCAATCAACCAATAAATCAATTGATTGCTTGATTGATTGATTGATTGATTGATTGATTGATTGATTGATTGATTGATTGACGGATTGATTGGTTGCTCCTCCCTCCAACCCCTCCCCTGCTTCACCCGCTCTTACGGCTTACCTCGCACTTCCGCCATCCCCCACACCTCCGCCCACCTTCACACCTCCGCCTTCCCTGCTTTCAATCAATCAACCAATCAATCAATATTGATTGATTGATCGATTGATTGATCGATTGATTGATTGATTGATTGATTGATTGATTGATTGATTATTTGATTGATTGATTGAAAAAATTCAAAAGTTCTTAAAAGAAAAAAGAAAAAAAAGGACGGGGGAGTTCCCCCCACCTCCGGCGCTCACCCCTCCCCCTGCGTCCGCTCCGTTCACCTCCGACCACTTCCGCGGCGCTACCCACCTTCGCTCGACTCCGCCCACCTCCACCGGCCTCCTCGCACCTCCGCTCGAGTCTCTTTCCCGGCCTTCCCCCTTGCTCCTCCCTCCGGCCCCTCCGCTGCTTCCTCCGCTCCTACGGATTACCCCCCACCTCCACCATCCCCCACACCTCCGCCCACCTTCACACGTCCGCCTTCCCCGCTTTCAATCAATCAATCGATCAATCAATCAATCAATCAATCAATCAATCAATCAATCATTTAATCAATCAATCAATCAATTCGATTGATTGATTGATTAAATGATTGATTGATTGATTGATTGATTGATTGATTGATTGATTGAAAAAAAGTAAAAAACTTACTAAAAAAAAATAAAAATAAATAAAGGGAGTCTTCCCCCTACCTCCCGCACTCACCCCTCCCCCTGCATCCGGTCCGCTGACCTCCGCCCACCTCCGCGGCCCGACCCACCTCCGCTCGGGTCTCTTTCCCGGCCTTCCCCCTTGCTCCTCCCTCTGGCCCCTCCGCTGCTCCCTCCTCTCCTACGGATTGCCCCGCACCTCCGCCATCCCCCACACCTCCGCGGCTCTGCCCACCTTCGCACGCCCATCTTCCCCGTTTTCAATCAATCAATTAATCAACCAATCAATCAATCAATCAATCAATCAATCAATCAATCAATCAATTTCGATTGATTGATTGATTGAAATTGATTGAAATTGATTGATTGATTGATGGATTGAGTGAAAAAAAATAAAAACTTATTAAAAGAAAAAAACAAAAATAAACGGAGTCTTCCCCCACGTCCGGCGCTCACCCCTCCCCCTGTGTCCGCTCCGCTGACCTCCGCCCACCTCCGCGGCTCGACCCACCTCCGCTCGACTTCGCCCATCTCCGTTCACCTCCGCATATCTCCGCCGGCCTCCACGCACCGCCGCTCGACTCTCTTTCTCAGCCTTCCCCATTGCTTCTCCCTCCATCCCTTCCGCTGCTTTCCCCCACTCCTACGGATTACCCCGCACCTCCGACATCCCCGGCACCTCTGCTATCCCCCGCACCTCCGCCCACCTTCGCGCGTCCGCCTTCACGGCTTTCAATCAATCAATCAGTCAATCAATCAATCAATCAATTTCGATTGACTGATTGATTGATTGATTGATTGATTGATTGATTCATTGATTGATTCATTGATTGACTGATTGATTGATTGATTGATTGATTGATTGATTGATTGATTGATTGATTGAAAAAAAAATAAAAAACTTATTAAAAAAAAAACACAAAAAGAAAGTCAGTCTTCCTCCGCAGCTCCATGCACCTCCTCCATCCCCCGCACCTCGGCCCACCTTCGCACCTCTGCCCTTGCTCACTTTCAAGCAATCGATCGATCAATCAATCAATCAATCAATTTCGATTGACTGATCTATTGATCGATTGATTGATTGATTGATTGATTGATTGAATTAAAAAAAAAAAAAATTATAATTTTTTTTAAAAACAATCAATCAATCACTGATTGAGTGATTGATTGATTGATTGATTGATTGATTGATTGATTGATTGGTTGGTTGGTTGATTGACTGATCAATTGAGTGATTGACAGAATGATTGATTGACTGATTGATTGCGACAAAACACCTGTGGACGCATTCGTGGGGTCGACCTCGGAAGGCAGACGTATATACGGCTGCGTCCGCGACCGACCTCGTTTGCGCCGTGGACGTGAATTTGCCGCATTTTTTCTGAATAAATAATGGGTAAAATGTATATATATGGGGTTGTAGGGATTTTTAATCACTACAACCCCCTATTTTGTTTTTTGAAAACAGATCGGTTTTTAGAATTATAAAAAATAAAAAACAAAAAAGGTGGAGAAGAGAAATTGAAAAATAAATTAAAAAAAAAAGCTTTTTTTCAGGGGGGGGGGGGGGGGGGGGGTTTGATTTGCAGTTCTTTGTATTCTTCGTTTTTATGTTTGTTTTTTTTTTTTTTTCCCCTAAGGAAACAATCAAGGAATGGAAAAAATATATATATATTCTTTTCCCGGGGCCTTTTATATTTGTGTGTGAACGTGTGTGTGTGTGTGTGTGTGTGTTTGTGTATGTGCGTGTGTGTGTGTGTGTGTGT